TCCAATAAAATAACTGTCTGATGGTTGGACTGAATACATGATTCTCTTCAATTATCAACAAACAATGAAAATGTTTTGAGATATACAGGAATATACAGCTATCTTAGCAGTCATTAATTTGCAAGGAGAGATTCACAACTGTTTCTTACTGTTTTATGCTTGCTATACATGCATAAACTTTTCTATGATACTTTTATACATGGATAATATTGTTAGTATTCATCCTCAGTTATCCTGTCATATATACCCTGAATGCAACCTCATTCTCCTTTTGCTAACTTAAATTTCTCCCTTTGCTAACTTAAATGCCATTCTGAATCAAATATATATATATATATACATATATATATATATATATATATATATATATATGCTGCTTTGTGGAAAAAAGATACATATTCATCTCTATATGCTATTTTTCTTTTGTAAAGGAGTAGATGAAATCGCATTTAGTGATCACATGCTTAATATAAATTATTATTGGATGTATTTTAGATCTTAGATGCAATCTTTTGTTCCTGAGTATAATTTTGTTTGCCGAAATTCCTGTTCTGTCCAATCCCCCAGCCATTTAATCCTCCAAAAAATGCACAGATGCCTACATTAATTATAAACTTTTTGTCTAATGGTTTAGTCTTCTTGGCTATTTTTCTCTTATTTTTTAACCTATTTCAATTAATCTATGTATCTCCACAAGGTCTTGGCTTACCAGAGAATGACTGGGCATCCTACCTTCTCAGTAGCTACACTGAATCTCCCTGATTCCACCTGCTACCTTTTCTCTATCCCTATCTTGATTCCCAACCTGGCCAAACACTCTCTGTTGGCCAAAACAGCTTTATTCATCAAACAATAAGAGAAACATATATTCACAGCATACAGAATGACATCCCCCATCAATTCCTCTTTTCAGTCTAAATGTTGGGGCCTAGCCCCTACAGGGTCTCTGAGTTGTTTGTCAGCTGATAGCCACAGGTGCATCCTGTTTTCTAGTCCTGGCTTACTGCCCTCACATTGACCCACTAATATCAACATCTATCAGGAGGAAAACACACTCTCTTCCAACTGGGATTTTTCCACTGTGTTGTATCCTATATATAAGACTGCTTCCTCCTACAAGAGAGAGACCTCTTAGAACTTGCAAAATAAAGGCACACACATACATTCTCCTGGCAATAAAGGCAGCACTTACATTCTCTTATTACAAACATCTGGTTTTTATTTTCCTCATATCTTGGACTTGCTTTGGGTGTGGGTGCCACATCTAAATAAAAAGGATGGTTTTAAATTTAACATTGTAAAGTTATATATAGCAAAAACAGTTATCAAGTAAGAATCATAGTTACAGTATTTAGTCCATTTATATTTGACAAAATCTAAAGAAAATATTCTATCACCTATCCTATTTTTGTTAGTCTAAGAATTTTTATGTAACTTATTTTTGTTGTAATTATGGAAAAGCCTAAACATAACTATCTGTCTTCAACTCCATCAAAGACCCAGAAGTATAAAATATAAACTGAAGAATTGACAGAGATATCTCATGGCCTTGGCAGCTTTGCAAAGTTCCTCTGTAACATGGGGCATCACTCTTTAGGATATAGGCCCAGAATATCTGGCAGACATTTTGATAGGCAGGAAACTTAAAGGACAATCTTTCCCTTGGCAACTCAGCAGTCACAATAGTCTTTTTTATTTAAATTAGAAACAAGCTTGCTTCACTAGTCAATTCCAGCTCCCTCTCTCTCCACTCCTCACACACTTCCCAACAATCTACCCAACACCCCCATTCTATTCCCCACTCTGCTCCCCAGGGATGGTGATGCCTTCCATGGGGGATCTCCAAAGCCTGTCATATCATCCAGAGCAGGGCCTAGGCCCTACCCCACATGTTCAGGCTGAGAGAGCATCCCTCCCGAGGTCCCATAGATTGCCGAGGCCTCCAAACTGACACCCACCTTCAGGGGTGTATATCTGGATCATCTGGACTCACGGAGATTCGTCTAGCTCTAAATACTGAGTCCTAGGATTAAATTTATGTGCCACTACTTCTTAACTTGGCGCCCCTGGGATTAAAAATGTGTATCACCAGTGCCTGATATCTAGAACTCGAGGCTAAATTGGCTTTATGAATCATCAGGGAAGTTTTAAGAAGTCATAATAGGATATGCAGATGTACAGTAAATATTGATGCTAATGTCCCTGTGGATGGTGATACATGGATAGGAGTGGTGAGGTTAAGAGGTATAATGAAAAATTGAAATGTCAAATGTTTTCATTTTAGCAGACAAGGTCACCTGTAAAGGAATATAAACAGGTCATTTCTAGAAGCAAATGCTTTATAAGAATGTTCCAAAGGGAATACCCCTCTGTTTTGGATTATGCATAAGGTGAAGCAAAGACCTGCACTGGAATAGGAATGTAGAGCAAGAAGAGATTATCAAGATAATCCTTTGTCTTAGAGAAGTGCCTTGTTGGACCTCTCAAAAGCCCCTATGACAAATCCAGAGGAATCCTTGCCTGTCATTGTGTATGAAAATCCTTCCCAGAACAATTAAATAGCCTATTGAAGAAAACATGCTGTTCTGAATGATAGAAGAGCTTTAGAAGATAAAAAATTCAGGAAAAGCCATAAATCAAAAATGACAAAGATTATGTTAGGAAATTCCACGGAGTTAGGGTGGGGGAAGGGATTTGTTTTGCTCTTTTCAAGAAAAAAAATCAAACAACTTGAAGATTTTAAGACCTTTGCAAAAATGAGCATCCAAATAAGAAGTGAGAATTACCCAGAAAAATTACAAAGGAAAGAAATAATCTGACAAAAGGAGGCTTCAGAAGTCCTCAAAAAGAAGACTGAATCAAAGCTGGGTGAAGGATATACAAGACTTTAATCCCACTACTTGAGGCAGAGGTAGTCAGATTTCAGTTATTTCAGGCAGCGTAATTACACAGTGAGTTTCAAGACAGTTAGGATTATTAAAACAGAGAAAACCTGTCCAGGAAAACAAATCAATACAAGCAAACAGACAAAATATAAGGAGCATTACAACAATTTCACCAGGAATATGATAAAACCATTAAGCTGAACAATACCCACTAAAAGTTGACTTTGGACTGCAAAGTGCTCAGAAAAATTTGAGGTGTCTAGCAGAGATGATCCAGCCTCAGAGACACCTATAAGAATGATTACAAGGAATCTAGCTGAGATGATCCAGCCTCAAAGATTACTCTAGCTAGGACTTGAGAAAAGCCCTGCACTTTCCCATTAGGAGAGACTAGAAAAAAAATATTAGAGTTTGACAGTTAATCCAAAATTTTTATTTCAAGGATCCCATTAAGATGCAGTCACCCCAGCCAGCAGGAAGTAAATTTAAGAACATGATGCCAACATTTCAAAAAGGTATGATGGGAGGATTTTAGTCATTAGATGGCTTATGGATATTTGTTATTGTTTAGTGAGTTTGGTTACAAAATGTTGTTGTTACAGTAGGGAAAATGTTGAACAAAGGGGATCAGATACAAGCTTTATGTTTTGGAAAAAACGATACAGTTATGATAAGATAAAACGGTAGATTATTGAATCTACACTTGAAAAGAATAAAGGGAGGTTATAGATAGGATAAAAATTTAGATTATCGAATCTACTTCTAAAAAGTATAGATATGATGATATAAAATGGTAGAGTACTGAATCTACTTTAAAAAAGCAACTATTAATGTTAAATATTTTACATTGTATTAGAATTTTGTATATTATATACAAATATTTCACATTGATACAAGTATGAAATTAACTGGTTAAAACATATTGTACACACTTTTCTAATCTTGTTGAAGGTACTGAACCTATGTATCCCACACACCTTTAATCCCAGCATCCAGAAGCTAGGAGGTGCTTTTACACATATTTAATCCTAGGACTCGGGATTATAAGTCAGATGGATCTCTGTGAGTTCAGATATACATAAAATTGATCCAGTTTTAAAGAGAAACAGCTCACACAAAGATGGTCTAGCACATGAGATCCCATGCCTTTCATCCTAGGCCTAGAGGGGTATAAAAGATAGGATAAGGGTCGTCTTTAGTCAGTATAAGGCATTCATTCTCCAGAACATTGAGGATATGAAATAAAGGAAGTCTCTTTATTCTTCAACCACCCTGTGGAGAGGGAGAAGTCTGTGTTTTGGTGGAGCCAGGATGACCTTTCAGTCTGAGTAATAGTGAGATCAGGTGCCGGTTTGCTTTGATTTTCTGATCTTAAGCTTGAAGTTCAAATTCCAATATCAGTTTCTGAGTCATTTATTTATCATGTTACATAATATAGTGTCTCCTCATTATAGAAAATTTTATTAACAGTGAGAAACATTATAATTCAAGCTATTAATTTCATAATCAGCATTAACTTGATCTGACCATAATAGAAGGTCTATTACAAAGAATAAACTAGACAAATGGATTACACACCTCAATTTGCATGTGTGAGGTTTACATGAAATGTGTGGATCCTCTACAATGAATGTTTCCTATGATGAGATGTCCTCATATGGGTTTACAAAAAGCTCTACTCCCGAAACTATATGTTAAAAAAATGCTAAATACTAATAATGAGTAAATGGCTTTACATCCTCAATATACATGATAATATTTATTTCTCTTTGAGAAATACTAATAACTTTAATAGCAAAGACATTTATTGCAACAAAATTTGAAGCTACTCAGAACATGAATTTGAAAAATAATCAGCCAATCAGTGTAGGTGCTATCAGAGATCTATAAATGCTGTTTTTCTGGCAAATTATCAGTCATTATTTAAAAAGTATGAAATTTATGTTCCTGCAGGTTGCCGCCAGAATATAATTAAGTATGTGATCTGTCTTTATCCAGTGTTTAAATCTAACTCGATAGTGAACAAAGCTTTCTATTTGCTCATATGCTATTTACCTTTCATTTTCAGAAACAGGTTGGTGATATTTAAAAAAAACAAACAGCAATAACCACAAAGTACACTTTATTTGTCTCTGCCTCAGAGAAGTCACAGAAATGAAATGAATAATGAATTAAATTTTGTGTAACATCACAATACTTGAAGATAATAACCACTACCATACTTAATAACCACATAGAAATGTGCTAAAACAATTTATGATCAGTCATTTTTGAAGCACTTAATGATGAAGGAATTAGTTATGCTAGCTCACCAGAGGTTTTCTATTTCTACATGTTTCTGTAAACTCAACTCATGGAGATTATAAGACTACAGAAAAGATGAGGTGCCTCATGGCTTGCTTGACTTCTCTATTCCTCAAACTGTATATAAAAGGGTTTAATATTTGAGGGACCACAATGTACATCATAGAAAAGATTACATTCTTTGAAGGAGATTCAGAAACAGCAGAATTCATATATACTCCAAATGCTGTTCCATAGAATAAGCACACTACTGTGAGATGAGAGCCACAGGTAGAAAATGCTTTTTTCTGTCCCTGGACCGATGAGATCTTTAGAATGGAGGACACAATTTGAATATAAGAGAAAATAATCCCAGAAAGAGGAACACCGACGAACACACTAGTAACTGTATATATAAGGAGGGTATTGATGAAAGTATCAGAGCAGGCAAGTTTAATGACTTGAACGAGTTCACAGAAGATGTGGAGGATATTCTGGTCTGTGCAGAAAGTCAGATTTAGCAACATCAGACTATGCAGTAGTGCATGCATGGTACTGATCAATAGTGATAGAAAAACTAGTAACACACAGAGGAAAGGTTTCATGATAACTGTGTACCTCAGCGGATGACCTATGGCCACATAGCAGTCATAGGCCATGACAGCGAGGAGACAACTTTCTAAGCCACCAAAAATGAAAACAAAACAAACCTGTGACAGGCAACCTGTGTAGCTGATGCTTTGATCCTGTGTTTGAATGTTCACTAGCAACTTTGGAATTATTGTTGTGCTTATACAGATGTCAGTAAAGGACAGACTGGCGATGAAGAAGTACATTGGAGTATGGAGGTGGGAGTCAAAGCTTACAGCCAGGATAATGAGAATGTTTCCAAAGATAGTAACAAAATACATAGACAGGAACAAGGTGAAAATAATTGACTCAAAGTCTGGAGCATAAGTCAGTCCAATGAGAAAGAATTCAGAAATACATGATTGGTTTGAATGTTCCATATTTCTGCTAAATATTACACAAAAGAAGAGATGAGAATTAACTGAATTTTTATGAGTAATGGTACAGTATCATTTAATGTATGGTGAGTATGGTAATTATAGAAGAATTTTTATGTAGTATTCATAAATTCTTTGAGATGATATATTAAATGTATTTTCTAAAATAATGTCACTAAATTTGACATATTTGAAGCTTGTGAACTAGTGATTTAATATTTTTTAGATGCCTCATTTATTATGTAAACTGCACTAGTAGTTCATTTCTTCATACACTTTTATTACATTCTTCTTGTCCATTATTCCTAAAACTTCCAGTCTCTCCAATGAATATTGAAACATCTGCAAATGAATAAGGCATGCCATTTTCTCGAGAAGTTATTCATACCTAGGAAAAATGTATTAGAAAGATCATAGTAAACCTGTATCTCAAAAGTAATGCGCACCAATATTGGCATGCTTTAGAATTTTTGAACTACTCATTAAGTTACAGAAAAATAAGCTCCTGCTACCAATTCTACTGACCCATGAGTTGTTTTCATAAGCATACATTATACAGATAGAAAGAGATAAGAAGTCTACATTTCTTGCATTCTGTCTTCAATCTATGACCACTCTTCATTCCTGCCTCCAGATATGACCCAATATTCAAAAATAATAATAAAGGATGTTACTATATCTCTGTGGCTATAATAAAACACCATGACCAAATCAACTTAGAGTAGAAATTTTTTAGAGTGGTAAAAGTCTATCAGAGTCAGCATAGAGGGATAGCATCATGATAAACATCAACCCTGGTGGTAGGCTGATAGATCAGATATTCAAACACAGGCATGATGAATAAAGAACTAACTAGAAACAGGAAGAGACTATTTCTCCAAATAGGACCTGAAATCACTCCTCTCTCTCTCTTTCTCTCTCTCCCCCCCTCTCTCTGTGTGTGTGTGTGTGTGTGTGTGTGTGTGTGTATTGATTGTAACAGTGATTGAGTCAAGGAAAAAGGAATATTTCTAACTTGATTATTGCATATCTTACATAAGAGCATACATATCTTATGATTCTACCTCTGAGATTATCCTTTATGTTGAAAAGTAAGGATTTATTGATTAATTTGGTATTTAATTAGTCTGAATACATAATTACATATCTAAATACAAAAGTAATTTAAATATTACACTGGATAATATTTAAACTTAGTTCATGAATTCTTAAACTAGGAAGTACATTCCATGAAAATGTACATAATGAATGTTTGAAGTCAACAAGTTTTCATTGTTGATTATTCATAATAAAAACTGCAAGCTTTACTATATACCAATTCATAGAAAAATATTTAGGTAGTTCAATTTGCTTGTTTTAATTATATTTATTTCAAAAAATTATATATGTATGTTTGAAGTCCCACCATCATCTACTTGACTTTTTCCCTTTCCTAAGGAAAATTACAGTATTACCATTTTATAATTTATGTTGTGCAATCTTACTGTATATAATAGCATTTTCTAAAATTAATTCTGAATTCCTTTACATTTTAGATATGTTATACAAGCAAAACTTATTCCATGTACAAAAATTGGAATGCTTACTTGTTTTATTTTTTTAGTGGTTATAATGCCACCATTTACTAATTTTTAGTAATATATTCTCCCATAATACTGTGGTATAGTTTTATTCCACATTCCCTACATTTTGATGAATATATATATACACATATATATATATATACATAACTTTTATAGCAACCATCACATCAAATACAATATGACTTTGGGATAATTAGAAGAAAATAAATGAGAAGCGGAATAGTGAGCTAATGAGTTAATGGTTGGAAATTTACTGCCTCTTTCAATAATACATGACACCAAGCAAAGTGTCAATGTTGTCCATTTGTTGAAATAAATAAACTATCATTTTTGTCTGTTGCTAGAGTTCTTCCCTTTCCTAGTTTCAGTGCCATTATCTTTCTAATTTCTGTTGAATTATCTCATACTGTTTACAGCAGAAGAATTTGTAACATAATTTTAGGAGGAATTCTCAAGGAATAAGAATGGAAAATAATGAGAAACATTGATGCCAATCTAGTGTTTATGATATTTTGTGTTAAATGTTATGGAAC